CTCTTGGAGATGATATCGGATTCCTCGATAAGGAGCTAAGAATTGGCGTCTATTTGGAAATCCACAATCTACTATGAAAAATTTACGTGATAATATATATTTTAATATGCAACTCAATGGGTTAATGAGAAATTAAATAATAATAATGATGATAAATCTATACACACACCACAATTAATCTATACAAACACACCATAATTAAACCATGACCATCAAATGATTAACCTATATACACACAGCACCAGTTATCAAATCATATTTTCATAGGTAACTAATCAGTGACAATAAAAAATATATCACAAAAAACTCAAGCACGCTAAATTCCAATTGGTTTACTTGTTATTGTTGAAATTTATTACCCAAAAAAAGAAAATCAAAAGAGGACGTCAAATTGCACTTAAACAATTCAGAGACAGTAATCTCAAATACTTATAACTTGGTAAAACATAAAAATAGAAGCTTGACATTCAGTGACACAACTGGCCATTATAAGCCTGACATTGTTATTCTTATGTTGAAGCAAGCTATGCACAATAGCTTATCTCAGGGGCTCCAACTTCTTAGATGCTTCAGCCAAAGAAGCCAATTCTAACTACGACAAAGCACTCGTAGTTTTCTGCGGATGGAAGCATACAAATAACAAAATCCGCAGAAAACTACGAGTGCTTTGTCGTAGTTAGAATTGGCTTCTTTGGCTGAAGCATCTAAGAAGTTGGAGCCCCTGAGATAAGCTATTGTGCATAGCTTGCTTCAGCATAGGAATAAGAATGTCAGGCTTCTAATGGCCAGTTGTGTCACTGAAATGTTTTAGCTTCTAGTGGCCCCTACATAGCTTGACCATGTCTGATTTCACTATTTGCTCATGATTTGAAAGACGCTTACACTCCTAGTTTGTTTCAGAGCATTTTTAAACTCATTATTAGCACTTTCGTGGAGCTAGTTGAACATGATCTATTTTTATGTTTTACCAAGTTATAAGTATCTGAGATTACTATCTTTGGATTGTTTAAGTGCAATTTGACGTTCTCTTTTGATTTTCTTTTTCTGGGTAATGAATTTCAACAATAACAAGTAAACCAATGGGAATTTAGTGTGCTTGAGTTTCTGTGATATATTTTTTATTGTCAATGATTAGTTAGCTATGAAATTATGATTTGATAATTGGTGTTGTGTGTATATAGGTTAATCATTTGCTGGTCATGGTTTAATTATGGTGTGTGTGTGTGTGTGTGTGTGTGTGTGTGTGTGTGTGTGTGTGTGTTTAGATTAATTGCGGTGTGTGTATAGATTTATCATTTTTATTATTATTTAATTTCTCATTAATTCATCGAGTTGCATATCAAAATATATATTATCAGGTAAATTTTTCATAGTAGATTGTGGATTTTCAAATAGATGTCAATTCTTAGCTCCTTATCGAGGAATCCGATATCATCTCTAAGAGTATAGTGGTTCGAGTCGTAAGCCTAGAAACGAAAAAGAGTTGTTCAATCTTTGTCATGCTTCTTTAAGAAATATTGTCGAGAGGATATTTGGTATTTTAAAATCACAATTCCCGATTTTAACGATTGCACCTCCATTTTCATATGCAATACAAGCGAAGGTAATATTAGCTTGTGCAGAAGTGCACAAGTTTCTTCACAATGAGTGTATATTGGATGAGTTTTCTATTAAACCAGATGATGAATTTTCTTAATCTCCAACCTTGTTTCTGAAAGGGATCTTGACCAAGATTTTCAAACACAAGAACAATAACGGAATATTGCTAATGAATAGAGATATAATATAACTTTGGACATGTGGAGAGATGCCCATAATTAGACATGGCATTTTAAACCCAACCCGTTAAAATGAGTATTCGCGTGAGTGTTTAACGGATCGGGTGGTTAACGGGTCAACTCGTTAACACCCGTTATTGAGGGCTTTTGTGTAATTTCAATAGTCAATAATAGAAGACTGTCACTTTCTCGCACTGCACCCCCTCGAATTACAACTCTCCTTCCCCTCTCTCTCCACCGCCGATTCTGACATCAACCGGTTCAAGAAGGTGGTCCAGCTTGCACCTTTCAACCCATTTGAGTCGCCCTGGACGCCCTTAACCAATGCAACTCAGTCTCTGAAGGTAGAGAATGAAAGCTTGTTTCTTTTGGGGCTTTTGATTGCTTTTGTTTCTGTTTGATTATTTAAGTTTGAACATTTTTATGTTTTTGATTGCTTTTGTTTCTAGTTGACGAGTTGCATTGTGCCGATGTGATATGTTTTGTTGTTCTTCTATAACTTGCAACTACAGAGAGAGAGAGAGAGAGAGAGAGAGAGAAGCAAAGTGTCCTTTACTTTAATGTCTGCAAACTTCTACACTCGTGTGCAACAGGAGAGAGAGAGAGAGAGAGAGAAGCAAAGTGTCCTTTACTTTAATGTCTGCAAACTTCTACACTCGTGTGCAACAGGAAGCAACTTATGGTTGCTAAGGGGTTTTCACGATCGATCGACCGGCAACTGTACGCTGGTTGAGGGGTTGCATTGTGCCGTTTGGTTGATAGGAAATTGAAGGGAAATAATTTATGCATGTACTGGGATTTTGATTAATTGTTGCTGCGTTCGATTATCTACTATACAAAACGGGGCTATATTTGTTTCGGATGAAATGTAAAAAAGAAAAAAAAAATTCGTTAACAAGTGATTTATTAAATTAACATGTTCTGTTTAAGTGACCCATTAAACTAACGGATCGGGTTCAACCCAACCCAAATCCAATAAACTCGACCCGTTTACAAACCTACCCATAATGATAATAGTGTGAATGGAGGATACTGAGTCACAAATAATTCTAGTGTGGTGATGATGAATTTGTGATGATGTTCTTGTAATGTTAGGTTTTGTCGCTACGTTCGAGAAAGCATAAAAGAAAGAAGAAAATATTACTTGTAATGATGAATTTCTAATTAATACAAGGTTTTGTGGCTGTGTTTTAAACTTGGAATTTAGAATTTCATCTGATTGCTTAGCTACTACAATTGCATTACTATTTTGTGTATTTGAGTTTACGATTGTGCTTGCTAACACTTCAAATTTATTGTCAACGGATCTCCTTTGATTGAAAACATTTATGTTTCTTGTGCATTATTTCATTTTATGTTATAAGATTCAACTAATAAATCCTAAGAAATCCACCAAAGAAATCCATACAAATCTATAATAGAAATCCATATAAATCTGTCAAAATCCATATAAAATTGAGAATCTTTTAAAATCTGTCACTTAAAAAAATCTATTAAAATCCCGTGAAATCCAAATTGACTACACCCCCTAAAATCCTAATAAATCTTCGACATTCTCACTATACCTAAATTTGAATATATTCTTTAAACTCTCAATCGACTACCCTTGGATTTTGATATATTCTTCAAAATCCTCTTAAATCCTAATTTGACTACATCATGATTTCAGAATATTTTAAAATCCTCTTTTAAACTCTAATCGACTACATCCAGATTTTAAAATCTATTAAAATCCTATCAAATCCTAATTTGACTACACCCCTCTTAATTATAAATTTTTTTTAGTATGACAACATATTTACACTAGAGGGTGTGCTATTAAGCTAAACATCACAATCTATTAGCCATAATAATTTGATAGCAAACTCGTCATCCACATAAGGCAAAACATAAACCTTTTCTATAAATCATAATTATACGCATAAACTTTCGACCAAAAAAAATTGTGTAAAACAAGTGCCATTCAATTATGAATTGTTTTCATAAAACATAATTACATGAATGGAATTTTTTTTTTTTTCATTCAAAACTCTTTAGACATACAAGATCAGACTGCAATCAACTCTTGATGGATAAATACAAATAAAAATCAGAAAGTAGGACATAAGGGACACTAGCAAAAATTATATGCATGGATTAACTACAGTTAGTTTCGTAATCACGGGGTTCATTCGTAGCGGGAGGTAAGGCTACACCAGGATTAATACCGTGAGTGAAAAACCAACTCTATGTAACCACCATGGGGTGGCCAGACTTCCAGTGGTTAGGGACGAATTCCAGGCTCGTATTCCACATGGCACGTCTTGGGTTCGATTCTTGCCGGTTATAACAGAGACCACCCTAACTCAAGCACCTACACTATACTCCAAACCACCACCCTAACTCAAGCACCTACACTATATTCCAAACCACTGTAATTCAAGCCTCTCCACTCTACGGTCTTTACCCAGACCACACCGTAACTCAAGCACCTCCACTCTATGGTCTTTTACCCCAGAACACACCATAACGCAAGCACCTGCATTGTACGGTCTCTACCGCATACCACACCGTAACTCAAGCACCTTCACTCTATCTCCTCATCTCAAGGTTCCAGCTAGATACGCTTCAAAAATGCAAAAATGATAACCAAGATGCTAACTGGTTTCAACCTCAAATCATAAGCACCTAGAATTTGACATGGAGCAATAACCTAGAAAAAGAGCACGACGAGTGGCAATTAGACAACGGCAGAACCCCATGAATATACCGAAACAGACCCACCCGGATCAAATGCATATATGCAAGAGATTGAACGGATGGCACCCAGTCACCATAGACAAAACGTACATTTAACACCGCTGCAAAGTAAAACCATAATTCCACATGACTTCTTCATACCAAGCAAGAATTAACATGGAAACATAACATTCCAAATGCTACGTATCACTGAATCGTTCCCATCAAATCAACGGAAACCTACACAACTCCTACTCTTTTCCTATTCCTCACAATTCCAAACAACCAAAAAAATGGTAAATACTAAACAGCATACACCATATGCAAAGGCCCCAATAACGGAAAGAAAACTAACAAACTCTAAACAGATAATTCATATCAACAGACATAATCAACCGATTACTTTCGGGCATGGACTGATTTATCAGTAAATCACACAGAGATTAACAATACAAGAAAACCCATCAATCATTCCACAGAACAATCACAGGTTGCAAAAACACATACTAAAATCCATATCTATAAATTTCCAATTTTTCAAAATAACCATCCAACCATTAATATTGCAAATCCCCTCTTCGCCCAATCAAATTCTAAACCCTAAATCCTCAAATTCCAAACCATAGAAAACAGAGCAAATCAGATCAAACCATTACATGGCTACGACGGAGAAGACGACCTGGCTTGCAGGTTCAGTTGATGTCGTTGTCATCGAAATCGTCCTGGAAGGAGTTGAAGAAATCGGAGTCGGCCAGCTTGCTCTCGCTCATGACGCCCTCGCCGAACGCCTCGAGTGTGTCGACGTCATCGACGTCCATGGCCATGGTGGAGCCCTGATCGTCCATGTCGCTGAAGAAGTCCATCGCCGTCGGCCTCATCACTCCGAATTGTCTCTGTCTCGCGGAAGGTATTGCTATTGAGCGCCTCACGTTTTGGCACTCTATCTCTGCAGGCGTGCTCACCTTTTGGTTTTATCGACGACATGTCGTTTTTTACTTCAGCTTTCGTAGAAATTAGTAGTTGACGCGGTCCGGTTTGGACTCGACCATGTACACAGTATATCATTACTGGGCCGACTCGTAGCCTCTTTGGGGTCATCAACGAACTGGGCCTAAATATCAAATTGGGCCCAAAAACTTTTGGAAATTGTAATAAAGTCGGAGAGTTTTAAGCGGAGAATAGATAACGAGAACGTGGCAGATGGAAGATCGCACTGCACATGGAGAGCGGTGTCCTCCCTCTCACTGCACAGCCTCATCCATGGCGGCCCAGATATTCCTTCCACTTCATCTTTCAAAATCCACTTCCTAATTCCCACTTGAGTCGCTCCTACGCTCCTAGCTACCGTCGCTGGGACTCCAATGCCGAAACCATTCGTTCCCAAAGATTCGGTTTTAATTTCAGAGAAGAAGACGCCGGCGATGACGAAGAAGAAGAAGAAGAAGATTACGAGTACAGTAGAAGTAAGGGGAAGAATAAAAGAAGGTGGTGGTCGGACGAGTCGTCGGAGATGGAGGAGGAAAGCTCCGGTGGAATCTTGGAGGATGCCATTGATAGTTTCTGGATATTGAAGGTACTAACTTTCACTTCATTTTTGGTTATTTTTATCAAGTTTGGATTTGGGAATGCTTCAATTTTGGAGAGCATACATTTTATTCGAGCGATATTCTAATTAGTCTAATCTAAACTGTGGATAAGGGATTTGAACTTGAATTCATAAGGGGAGGACGCTGCTCTAGCCAACTTATCGATGCACAGCTCTGTTTTTTTTTTTTTTTTTCTTTTCGGAGAGCTTACTTTAGTTGTTCTTACCCGTACCCAAGTAATAGAATGCATCGATATTTATAGCTAGGTTTTGTTTTGATAGATGGCTTCGCTTGCATTCGAAACAACTGTGAAGACAACGAAATAGATATTGAAGTCTGTTGTTTTGCTATCTTTCGGCACAATTGGTGTCTTTGATTGTGTTGTCTCAAGAGTTTACAAGTTAACCGATGCCATTTAATAATGTAATTTGCTTTGAGATCAAGTTATCGTCTTAATCTTACAGCGGTAATGAATCAAGAATTGGAAAGTGATGAAGTCCGTTATCATCACTTGTGCTCTTTCACTGTCAAGAGTTTACTGTTATGTTAGTTAAGCTATCCTGTTCTCGCTGCCTTTTAGTATTTGCAAAGTTCCGCAACTGACATTTTGACAACTTACATAGCATTATGCAGTAACAAAATTACTGACCAAATTTAAACATAGGTCGGAACTTCTATTTGAAACAACCTAATAGAGTATTCCTTCCTTTCCTTCTTTCTTTCTTTTTTCTGTTTTCAAAAATCTCTCCCCGCTTATTCTGTTAGCTTACTGATTAGGCTCATGTAGTATATTTCTGTAAATATGTAAGCCTACTTTGGAGTTTTAAGGTCGGTGTGTTTCATGAGTTTAATAAATAAAACTGGAAGAGAGCTGATGCTAAACACAATGTGGTTGAAGGCACTCCACTGGTAAAGCAACCAATGAAAGGCGGCATGATGGGGCATTATCTCAACTGAGGGAAGATGCGTGAAGGTAGGAGACAATGTTTGGAGTGCCTTAGTTTGAGTTAGCATATCATCAATGTGTAAAGTAAAAAAACACGCAATGTGTTCTCTTAGCACTGAACAGCTGTAGTAATCATCTCTATCTGTTAATGAATATCTTTGATTAGCGGTATTATGGATTGGCTGATTGATACGGTAACTTGATTGCGAATCAAGAATGGGCAAACTACTTGAATAACTTGTGCCTAGTGCATATTTTTAAGACATATTATTGTTAGAATTCGTGCTCTGAAGATGAATATTTTCTGTCGCCTGATTGAGGGACATCCCAAGCTTAGGTTTATAAATATACATGTTCTGCCTCATTCCTTACTTCACATCTGTTTTTCACATGATGTATTTGTTGAATCAGATATCTGATATCATCAGATACCTGAATACATAAGCATTTTGATAAAGTGATTCACGAAAAAAAAAAAACAAGAATCAAATTTGACCATCGTAATGCCAAGGTCGAGATACAAACGTTGGATCTAATTTTTCGTATTATGGTTGTGCTGGTTGGTTTCTATTGCAGAATTTGTCATAGGTGTATTTTCTTTTGTTGGTGCAGGTGTTCAAATCCTATGGATGGGCATTTCCAGCTATTATTGCATCTTTGCTGCTGTCCACGGGTCCGAAAGCTTTCCTCTTGGCGTTAGCACTCCCCCTTGGTCAGTCAGTATTTTCACTGTTATTTGAGAAGTTGTGGGGACGGACATGGAGTAGGCCGAAACGCAAGTCCAGGACAAGGAGGAGAAGGAAACCTTTTGCCAGCAGTTTTGGTAATGCTAAAACAGGTGACAAAGAAAGATATGTTGAAGACCAGGAAACTAGTGACAGAAGTATGGGTTATCAATCTTGGGTAGTCGGAAATGATGCTTCAGCGGATGATAGTGGTAGGGAGGCATCGAGTTTAGGTGGATGGGATGATCTTGAAAGAATGGAATCTGCACGGAGGCAATCTCGAAGAAAGCCAATGGGGAAGGGTAAGTTGAGTCGGAGAGAAAGAAATAGCGACACGCCGCTGCTGTTAAGATTGTTGATTGCTGTTTTCCCATTTTTGGGTACATGGACAAAGATGTTTTGGTGAATAGAGAATGTAAACCAAAAGTCTTAAGCCTGGAGCATGACCTTGATTATTTTCCTGCAGCTTAGATCAGGCACTACGACATTCTTTGCGCCGGCTCTTGCACGCCTTAGGATCCAGAATAATATCGGTTGAGGGTAAGACCAGGGATCAAATTTCAGCCAGAGCCAATTTTGTATACGCCTGACTTGGATGCCGGCGTTCCTACAAGTTTTATTTCACACGCCATTGTACATAGCATATATTCCAAATATAGTTTCACAGTACATTTGACATTTCATTGCATACAGTGGAATCTGGTATTTATCTTATAAGGAATTTGGTTGAATACAGAAATATTCTTATGGTAGACAACGGCACAAATATTTCTCATTCACATCGTAAACTTCTGTAATCGAATACCATTAATCAAACGTTGCCATTTGTTTACAAAATCAAACGAAACCTTCAAAGAATGTGAAACTACGCCTGTAAAAAATCGTCGCTTTCCTGTATTGTAAACAATGCTAATGTGCACGATAACTACCGTCATGTTGCAAATAGCTCAACCTTGTTGCAAGCAGATGCAGGGTCCTGGAGGCAGTTACAAAAGGCCTCCTCATCTTTGGGGAATGAAGTTGGCAGGGGATGGTCTGGAATCACACCAACCTATAGAAACCAGAATCAAGTTAATCGAGAGCAACGTGAATAAAGTAAATGGGGAGAAAGAGAGAACGCATCAGACCTTATCAATGTCTGTGTGAGCAGGTGTCTCATAGCGGGCGACTGTAACAACCAAGCCAGAGCCATCGGATAGCTCAAAAACTGACTGAATCTTGCTGCATAGAGGGATGGATGGCTTATGTCAGGAATGTACAATTTTATTCATGGGAATTGAGCAGAAGCAAGATTACCCCTTCCCAAATGTGGGTTCTCCAAACAACACAGCACGTTTATTGTCTTTCAATGCCCCAGCTAAGATTTCACTTGCGCTAGCAGTTCCCTTGTTCACCTGAAGAACCTCAGACGATACACATACCAAATCTCACCAAGCAATTCTTCAAAGGTAATGTTTCATAGTACGCACATGAACACACGCTAAATACAAAAAACAGAAAGGGTACAACAGCGTATCCTAATGTTTAAATCAACCAATTTGCAAGAACGTCACATTCTCAAGCAATAAAATACTGATTCCAACCATAGAAGGGTTCCTTTTTAATAAGACAAAATATCAGAAACGAAAAACTGATTCCACTATCAAACAGCATAGAGATTAGAGACGGGCCGGAGCTGGAGAACCGAAAGTCTAAATGATGACAACCCTGCACTATTAATAATAACATATGCAAATGTTTGCATAAGCATCAAGGAATATCATTGACCAAATCTACTTAATCATATTATAAATGAACATGTACCAGCACAACCAGGGGTTCTGAAGTTGCCACTGCTTGGCTTCCATCGGTGTCATATATATCTCGAACACCACGACTATCACAAATATATACAATCACACCTTTGTCCAACCTGAAAGAAAAGCATCTAATCATGAATTTACACAATTTGGATCTGATATAAGGGAGCGCAAATTAATATTTGAAAGACAAACAATGATTTCTAAATTTGTTAGAAAGTTGAATTTTAAGAATTTGTGCTGCATAAATTGGATCAAACATAATGGCTTCAAACATGAATCGTGAAAGACCATTCAAGGCTTCAAGCAGCATGATTGCAATCTAGTAATCCAGTAGCTTTCGGTGGATTGTCTTTCTAAACCTTGTTGGGTTGAAGGAGAAACTGGAAAGAAGCATCTTTCTTTTTCTTAGGAATAAGTTCCCAAAGTATCAAAATATTTATTGCATGGCTATGACTATGTGCAAACATTAGTTATCTCAGTTCCATAAAAAGTTGTTCAGAAAACCCAAACAAGTAAGTCCACCTGAGCTTTTTTTTTTTTTTTTTTTTTTTGTTTTGAACAAACAATATTATCTACAATAAGGGGAGGGGTTTGGGCTTAGCCTCACAATGGGCTAGCAATATTGTGGTTCAAATTCGCCTTTGGCAAGAATCGAACCTAAGACTTCTCACTTACAAGTGAAGAGGAATACCACCATACTGCAGTACTAAGTGGCCAGCTGGGCTAAGTTAAATATGCACCAAAAATTTTGTTTATTCCACCGTCCCAAAAATAATACCAAATTGACTCGTTAAGTAAAAAACAAAAATTATAAAAAGTTAAATTTCCCACAGCTCTCCAGGGCAACTTACCAAATCTTAGCAATCTCAATTCCTTCTGGGAAAAGACCACCACTGCACCAAATTTAAGCAAATATTAAGCTTTCAGAAAGCCTTCCAAAAGGGCAAATTTTACTAGAGCCTTGTCGAAAGATAATGTTAAACTAGACCCACGTTGATATATAATGATTACCTATTGTCTCGAAGATCCAACACAAAGGCATTAACATTATTACTCCTTAAGGTATTAATTGCTTCCTTGACAGCACCTGCATGGGATGCAAAGTTCTTAGACCAAATTGCAGAGATTGACGAGCTCGCTCCAAACAAGGTCAAACAATTGAAGTACTGAACAAGATGATGAAGCATTGAGTAAATAAAGTTTTAAACAGAATGAGCAATGTTTTCTTCAAAATCAAGCGCAAGTGAACAGATTTTCTTTCTCAGTGGGAGTGGACTTAAGAAGATCAAAACACCATACCATCCTACATAAACTTATATCAGTTCGGTAACTACTAGATCTCCTTACCAGATGCATTTTGATTGAACGTTGATAGTTTGATATAGCCAATCCTAGGGGAATCCTTTCCGGAAGCAGGGACCGCACATAGTCTTGACTTTACAGGATTCAGTGAAACTTTCTCCCGCCTAGAATACAGCAAGAAGGCATTTAAATAAATTTAAAAATGGAAAAAAAAGACTCTAGATTGAGTAAAAATAAAATCACAATTAAGCCCACTCCTAAGTGCTAATCCCCCACTTTAACAGTAGCTCAAGGGTCCAAGCAAATGGGATGACTTCTGGTTAAACACTGAGCTCAATTGCCAGCCATCAAATAAAATGAGAACTTAAACCAAAAGCATTCTTATATTTTTAAGTTTCACTAATTATTAAATGCATTCCATGACGAAGTTAAAACCAATATATTATCAAATCAATAATCTCCAAACACTTTTGGGCAAACAACATTATTATCCCCAAAAAAAAAAAAAAGAACGAATAATTCCTTAGACAATGATATTACAATATTTCATCACGGATGAATGAAGAATTGAACCTACATTAAATCCAGGTGCTTTATTTCAGGTCCACTACGAACTGTTAGTTTAACTGTACTTCCTTCAGCTCCCCTGTAACAATTAGGAAAAACAAGATATAAATGAAAATAAATAAAAATTTAGTGGGGAAAAACAAGTCATGATTCTGAAAACACTTGTTTCAATTACAAGTAACCAGACCCACACACAAATTCAAAGGACCCAAGGTAAAGAGCTTCTCCAGATTTTTAAATGATACGACTTCCATCTACAAATTTTGTGAGTAATCCCCATTAAATCCTAGTACTTGATGGATAGTTACTATAATGACAGGTTAAGTGGCAGGAAGTGTAAGAAACTCACTGTAGCCGCTCTGCAGCATCATATATGCCCATTGTTTCTGTACTTGTATCATCAATAGCCAGAATAACGTCCCCAGACAAGATGCCAGCTCTGTTTGCTGGACCTCCCGGGGAAGCTGAAATAACAACAAGACCAGCTGCTGATCCATCAAGTTTTGTAGGGTAGCCAATTGACAGCCCTACGCCTGTAAGAGCACCTTGAGTTCCAGACTGCCTTTGAAGAAGATATTAACAGATTTCAGGAACAAGAACTATATTCAAATCAAACTGAAGAAATGTATCTTAAGATAATGAGTGATTTGTAGAGTGAGTTTGATGTAGTTTCTAATGGTGCATTTCATTCTTATTCAGGCTAAAATGAACTACACTAATACACTAATAGTATAAGAAGAAATATCATTGTACCCGTAGACTATTGAACTTTTCAGGCTCCAGAAACCGAGTGAAAGGATCCTCCAATGTGGCAAGCATCTTCTTAATTGCCATATCTGATTGCAAATAGAACATTAGGATTTTAAGAGGTAGAAACTGGAAACTGGAAAGATAAGTATAGTATTTTCAGTTAAATGAAGTGATCCAGCTGGCACAAAGCTTTGCTCATTTTTATACAAAACCCAGCTACAGCTTAGTAAAATAATGGTTTGTCAAGTGAATGGAGCCTTTGGCATGGTAGGATCAGTAAATCTTGAAAATTTTCAAGCTGGAAAATGAAATGATAAGTAGTAAACAAAAGTGAGAGTGGACTTTAGGTGATTCAAAGTCTCAAACAGCGGAAAAACCAATTATCAAGTCAAATAAGGTATCATATACAAAAGTGTATTGTATAAAACAATTCACTAAGTCCAATGAACCACTGTCGAGGTGTACTTCAAAAGGACAGTCTTGGTATTTCAAGCTGCTTTTACTATAGTAAATTTTCCCAACAATACAAGATTACTGACTGTAGGAAGGATATCATACATGTCTCTTCTCTTGTGTTCATTGGTTCATTGCGCAATGCATTTTCTCTGTACCGAAACCAACTTTGTCCATTAAAACTTTTGTCAACATATGCACGGTCAATCATCTTCCATGCCTCTAAGAAGATACGATTCTCTTCTGTGAGAGCCCCTGGGCAAGTCAATAAAACAACAGATTAAAGTAAATCTCTTTAACATTGCACGACTTTGGGTTGTCATTACTCCATTACCGTATAACGTAAACTTACACGATGGAGTACTGCTAACAGAAAGAGAAGCTGACATGACAACCATCAGTCCAGCAACGAAAACAAAAACATGCCGTCTAATTTTTTCTGAACATTTTAGCACTTCATGGAGACTGCCAGCATATTTCTTCAGTTGAAGTTTTTTCCTGACCTTACTATAATTTGCTGAAAACAAACCACCCTGACAAACAAAACTCCGACTGAGCCTCAACACCGGTGGAATCAAGAAACTGTGCTTAAAGTCCCCATCAGTGTTACCATAATTTATCGGCCTCTTAAGCGACGTAGTCATTATACAAATTAAGGGAGACTTTGCTCGAGCTTCTACAATCCTTACTGGAAGATACTTCCAGTGCAGCACCTGCAAAGAGTCCGGTTAAAAAGTGTAATTATGGGAGTCCCCATTACAACCAGATAACGCCCGGCATACATTATAGAGCGGTATCTTTCAGGAGCCACAAGGCCTCTTTAGTATTAATTTCCAACGTTAAAACTCAGGAAAGATACAATATATAACTAAACTACCAGAATGGATATAATAAGCACCAACACGTCCTAAGAAAAATAATTAGAAACGATCACCTAGTCGTATATTTTCCTTCGTAAAATGATTTAAAGACTTAGGACAACTATAATTAGGTGTTTACACAAAACAAGTTGCAATAGAAAAGCAAGACATCTTCTTGGAGCACCTACCAAGTAATTTAAACTCATCTAACGGCAATCAATACATTGATTAGAACGTAATTTCGCAAAAGATGAAACCCGAAAAGCTTTAGAATTTTATGATTAAAACGTAATTCTGCAACTATATTGTTCTCTAATTCCATAATTGTGGATTATGCCCAGAGAAAGAGAGCTAAAATGAGGCATGAATTAGATAGAAATCGATGAGAGAGAGGGGAAGGGGTACCTGAGGCGGAGGAGTGGCGGCCATGGAGACAGAGCTACGGTGGTTCTTGTAGAAGCTGGAGAGTAGGAAATGAGAGGATGAAGATGCAGTTGCAGAGCTAGCGAGGACCTCCATGAATGGAGAGTCCGCACCCGTAGAGCTCTTCCTTTCCCTCTGAGAACGTTATCCAATGGGAAGTTTCATTCGAAGCAAAAGATATCATTCCAAAGCCAAATTAAAAAATTTATCCCACCAACTTCCCATTTTACCCTCAAATTAAAGTTGTGCATCAAGCACATGTGCAATTGCATTACGGTCTGGTAGTATTCCTCTTCACTTGTAAGTAAGAGGTCTTAAGTTCGATTTTAGCCAAAAACAAATTTGAACCACATTATTGCTAGTCTATTGTAAGGCTTAACCCACTTCCCTCCCCTTTAAAAATAAATAAATAACCATGTGCCCATGTGAAATTGCGTGGAGAGGTAATTGAAGAATTGGACATCCAAAGACCAAAATTTTTGAGAGACAAGGTGGTGGCCCGCGAATCGGTGGTGGCCCGCGAATCGGTGGCGGCAGGCGAGGGGGTGCCGTTGTCGACAACAAAACTCCACCGAACCTAACTCAATTCAGGTGACACTTTCTCCGACATTATCGTCAAAGGGCACCATCATCATCGTGAACTAAGCCAAGCACACAACTATCATCGTTATGGTCATTGTGTCTTTCCAACACGAGTTTTTAGAGATGCGTACCTGATGATTCATTATTAACAAATTATAATGTATTTAATCTTAAGCGTATCTAAGAGGATGAATTGAGCCTAAGAAGGATAGATGATATTCCATTAGTGGCATGGAATCGTTGTAGGTTTCGTAGGAGAGAGTGGGAGATTAATTGATTGGGATGAACATACAAGATGTTATTTAAATCAGTACATATAATGGAGCGAGAGCTGAGATGAAACTCACATCCCTGTATAACCGTTTCCACGGAAGAACCACCTCAATATCCTTTTTTTTTTTTTTTGGTCAAACAATAAATTTTGTTAAATTAGATGTTAGATTAGCCGAACCCACACCATCATGCAAATGCTCAACTCCTTTCTACTACTACGGTAAAGGGCCACTTGCAGGGAACCACATCAATATCGACACCAAAAGACAGATGTCATAGCTACTCTTAGACTCGACATTGAGTTTGAAATTACCTATTTTGAAACCCGTCCCCCTTGGACTTTTGGTGTTGTGCTCATCTTGCTGGTTATTTTTGCTTTCAACCCAACCCTAAATCCTAGACCGAAAGAATTTTCTGGTAACCTGAACCGGTTATGGCAAGTATGGCTTCATCCCAAGCAAGGGAGAGGCATCTGTATCATACAAAACCAAATTTTAAGGCAAATCCTTCAAGACATGAACCTACAGATTCGTCCTTAAAAAACCACCTGCTCCAATTCTCCCACACTAAACAAAGACTAGATATCTCAAATTCTGAATTTCCAACGTTACAATCAGAATATTCCGTGAGACAACACTTCAGGGAAAGAAAGAAAATTAAAAGTAGAGATGACGGCTTACAACAACTCGTCGAGGTTAGCTACTAAAATCAGCTTCTTCGGAACAGTCCCCGCTTAGTCAGGCATTCGGTTCTAAGACGAGTCTTCAGTTCCCGGCCCATTGCTGAAACCTAGGCACACACACCTCTCTACTAAAGGATGGTGAAGCAGCAGCTGCTGCAGTCTCAGTTGATCTTCTCATCCTCGAAAGAGCCTCTGCACGCAGCCTTTCTAATTCTTCCAGTTCCCTCTCTCTTTGCCTCTGCCTTTCAGTAATCTCGCCTAATTTTGCCCTCCATTCAGCTGCTTCTCTCCTTAGTCTCTCCTCTTCTGCATGGTTCCCCACGGCAATATACGATGCACGTCAAAAGATGACAACAAAAAGTATATCAAGTACAAAGGGTCGAGAAACAAAATCAACTTGATCAGCGACGCAAATTCATAGTCCGACAACAGAACCAATTATGATGGCAAACTACATTGAATTTTCCCTTAACTAAAGTACTAAAGTTTCAAAGATCAGAAACTACCATCCGAATGAAAACAAAACTGATTCCATAACCCTCCCAAACAAGATGGTCCAAAACTGAGAAGAAGCTTGACATACTAAAACTGTTTGTAACGAAACATACCTTCTTCACGCAGCCGGGTTTCGAGCTTTCTCTTCCTCATGCAGATTTCTGAGCAAAAATCGCGGCATTTATCATTATTGTTAAGAAATATTTTTTAGTTACATTCATCGTTTTTTAAAACTATATATTAGTTTCAAATTAAATACCAATCAACCCCTAAACTCTCTGGAACCACTAATTATCCAAAGCAATTTTCAGATTTGCAAATTAATTTGGCCCATTGGAGCAAGATCATGTTTTCTACACAATTTTAGCTAAACATCAACCAAATATCCTAAACCTCGAACAAGCCTTACTTAATTACTGATTTTTTTTTCTAATTGTAAAATATTTAAAAAATTGAAGGGCAAAATTACAACAGAGACAAGATTAAGAGACTGAAATCTTCAAAATTAGAGATAAAAACTTCTAAATATAAATAATTAACGTTAAAACCTAGATAACAAGGCAAAAATTAACAATGCACTTACCTTCCACTCGCTCCAACCCACTTTCCGAATCTGCAAAATCTGCCATGTCTGAGTCAAAGATTGAACCACCACGAAGCTCCGGTGAAGCGATAATTGCAGCTACCTGATTGCGCAGGCCACTGCGCAAAATCCGCACAAATCAATTTCAAATTTCGCGGCAGATGGTGGCGCGCGGAGAGAGAGAAAATTTAGGGTTTTAACTTCTTTACGCGCGAAAAAATAAAAGAAACCAAGAAGGCTAGCGGCAGATTTAGGAAGGCTAGTCAACGGAAAGGACCAAAAAAAATTAAAAAAAAAACAAAAAGAAGGGAAGGTAGTATTGGGCTGGGCTTTCGTGTGAACGGCTCAAATTTATTATGCAATTTGAACCTATGAATAACATGGCAACGCCAAGGTACTAATTAATATTTTCGTTTTCAGATTTCATAATTAAAAAATAAATAAACTGTTTTGATAACTTCTTTCAGTTTTTTTTTTTTTTCAAAAACCAATCTAAATTTTAAAAATTAAAATTAAAAAAAAAAAACCATTTAGTTTTAAAAAAATGAAAATGATGACACTCATCAAACAAGTTTTCTGTTTTCTGAAAAAGTCAAAACAAAACTAAAATATATTTTTTTTAATTATTATTATTAAGGTGAGGGTAAGGATTCAAAATTATTACAATAAGTAGATACTCAACACCCTATTCATTATGATATTGGTCCACATACAAACTAAAATCTAAAAACAATATACTTATCAAACAACCCTTTTTTCATTTTTTTTGTTGATCAAAAGACCCCTTAATAAAAATAAAAAAAAACCTTTCAACAAAACTTCTATTTGAGTTTAATTTGAAGAGTCATAAATCTACAAAAATTATACCGCATTTGTTGCTCATGTGGTTGTAAGAATCCATGCATGCGTTGACACAAAAAAAAATCCATGCATGCATTAACCGATAAAAAAAAATCCCTGCATGTCCGATATTGATTGTATGAAAGAAAAAACCAAAGGACTTAAAAGGAAATAGGAAACGACAATGAATAGTTAAATGTGTGGCTTACTTCGAACCCTCTTGTCCTTTCTTAATATTGGTGTATAAAAACATAACAAAATTATTTGGTTCAATTGTTGTGACAGCCCGTCCCTAAAAATTATGGTTTTTATAATTTTAATATGTGAAATTACGGAATTGCCCTATGGACAAAGCGTGATTTTTCGAGGACTTATGTGATTCTCGTATATTTTGTCATGTTTCTTGACATATTCGGATAGAGCTCGATCTTACGGACACGTAGGCACAAGTAGAAGTGAATCTGGAGTTACAGTTAAAGTTTTATTGAGTTACGAACCCGAAAGTATTTGGAATGAATCATTATTTTAATTATCTTACACTATATTTTTATTATTACTAAAGGATTTATATGCCATTGGTGAGTGTGGCTGGGAAAAAGGAGGAAAACAAAAAAGAAAGAAAACGGGGAAAGAAGAAGAGGGAACAAGAGAAAAAAAAAAAAAAGGAGGGAGTTGGACAAATAGGGAGAGGAGAGAGGGTAGGATGGCCCAATCAGAAACGGAAGAAAGGAGGGGAAAGGAGAGAAAAAGAAGGGGGGAGACATGGGTTGGTCCGTGCAAACCTTCGAACCCAACCCGTTCCGCCAATTTTCCAGCCATTTTCCACCATTCTTCTGGCGAACCACGTCACCTAACCACTGGGAAAACATTCCCCATTGTTCCCTCTACCTATTACACCCAAAATTGAAGATGTTTGGCTTTGATTTCATAGAATCCAAACCGTAGGGGGGTGATGGCACCGTCACTCCAGTCCACCAAACCTGAAATGTTTTCATGCAATTAACACCACCAATAGACTTCCCTTGAGGCCTAGAACAATGCCCAATCCTTGGTTGAAGCGTCGGAGTCGAATTGAGGACGAATCAAGAACACCTATTTCTAGGGTTTCCAACAGTTCAAGGCAAATTGGAGCCCTTCCAGGCCAAATTGAACATAGCCACAGGTATAAAGTTTGCTCTACTCTTTGAGATCTTCATTTCTGTAATTTTTGAGAATGTTTAGAAATAGTTGAGTTTTCTGGCAAGCCGAGGCGACCAACCGCCACCCGCGGCAGTGCACGGCCAGGAAGCCGACATTGTGTTTTTATGCGAACTTGTTATTCTAATTATGCTTTTGAGACCTAATTGTTGTGGTTTGAATATTAATACAATTGTAGTATATGTTGGATAAAATGAATATATTTGGATTTGGTTTGAATTCTGGATATGTGAACTACGAATGGCTTGATCCCTGTTTAGGGTACGTAGGCAGTCTAACAAGACATTAGATGCATCCATACAATATTTGAGACAAAAGCCTTATTTGGGAAATTAAGCAATGTAAAGGAAATGGTGAAAATTTGAGTTTTAACTTTATGATTTGTTGGTTAAATGTGGTCATAAAACAGTGTGTGAAGAATAGAGAAATTGAAGTAAGGAATCGTAAGTATTAATAGTTAGTTAAGCTAGTGTTTAGTTGGGCTTGTCACCAATAATTATTCCTGAAAATAAATAGTTCCGGAGTAGGGCGTTATAGATTGTGCATTTTACGCCACATTATATGTGCATATATATATATATATATATATATATATATATATATTTAAAAGCACTACGATATGGTTAAATTTTGGATTGCATCATGGCATATCCATAGGTATATTATTGTGCATAATTATTGTTATGCTTTGAAGTACGAAGGTGAACGCATGACGCACAGGTAAGTTCAGGTAAGTATATGTTGTGAAATGTGAGATGCATGGTTATAATTACATTTTATTTGAAATGATTGAGTTATGGCATGACTATATTTATGTTTTAAGCAACTTCGACACTGTCGTACAAGTTGTAATGATAGGCAACTCCAACATTATGGTACATGTTGCTTGTGAGTCGTACAGGTCATTATAGGTGACTCCATCTTACGTGATAGCATTGATTAATGAGATATGGGTGAGTCGTACAGATCATTATAGGTGACTCCGACTTACGTGCTAGCATTGATTGATGAGATATGGGTGAGTCTTACATGTCACTATAGATGACTCCGACTTACGTGCTAGCATGGATTATTAAGCACCTGATTATTTATATTGCTGATGAGATGTTGTATCATGGTATACTTCTGGATTTACTGATAGTATACAATTGATTTCATCCTTATACGTAGTATGATTTTCTGGGAAATTATATAGGTTTTACGGCGAGGTTATTATTTTTGATAAGTGAATGGTTTTTGAAAAGCTTTGTTTTCACCCACTTACATTTTCTATTTTGCACCCCTTCAGGTTCTAGTAGTAAAGTTTTCGTATTGATGAGGATTCGTGGTATTTCCCAATATAGGTGACTTCTTATTATAATATAATCGTTATCTTACCTTACTGTACTCTACTTATACTTTGTATCACATGTATATGGGTCCATACCAATCCATGCACGTCCGATATTGATTCTATGAAAGAAAAAACCAGAGGACTTAAAAGGAAATAGGAAACGACAATGACTAGTTAAATGTGTGGCTTACTTCGAACCCTCTCGTCGTTTCTTAATATTGGTCTATAAAAACATGACAAAATTATTTGTATTCAATTGTGGCATGGAATATTCATCAGTACTAGCAGATAAGATTTGACAACTTGAAATTACCACCACGAAATTTTCAAGAGGCTTGAGAGAGCGCGTCTTTGGGATTTCGAAAGCACTTTGTCAGGATTTAGAATATCTTTTAATTGCATATGTTTATCGTAAATAGTGCGATCAATGTTCGTCAGGTATTATTTGTATTCAATTTTAAATAAATAATTTCAAATAATTTCTTATAACTTGATATACTATGAATGGACACAATTAAAGTATCTTCACAAAGTAGGTTATGTTACGGATCTTCGTTCCAAAATAAAGGAAGTAGAATAAAAAAGGTTGTAATATTCCAATTTAACTTTTAAACTTATTTTCTTTTTTTTTTATGTGCATCCATATGTAAAAAGGGAGCATCTTAAAAAGGTCAAAATGAAACTTTTATACGCTTTCATGCACATTATTGAAATAAGATTATCTTCCTTGTAAGTTGTAACCGCCAAAGAAAAAGTAAAAATAGGATTCCAAAACAAAAAAAAAAAAATGTAAAAATAAGCACTAGAAGAAAGATTTTGTAATCTCTATTAATTAATGAAACCTTCTTTGTCAACCAAAAGAGAGTGAAAAGACTACTTAGTCTTCTATCATACAAAAAAATGATGGACAATAATGTAATTTCACAAGTCCAAATTTTACTGTTTTTTATTGAAGCCTTACCTACATGTAATATTAAATACCTCCTACTAATTAGGTATCGAAACCCACACAGATATATCACGTTATCGTCATTTATGTGTGTTGGACTTAAGACCTCTCATTTACAAATGAAGAGAAATACCGCTATATCGTAGTATTGTCTATACTACTTAGGGTTATACAAGATTTATAATGATTTTCTGTTCTTTGAGAGAAACATTGTCGAAGAGAATAAATAAGATCTCAGGTGGAGTTATTATTATTATTTTTTAACAAACGATATTATCTACACTAAGGGAGAGGGGTGAGCTTAGCCTCACAATGGGCTAGCAATAATGTGGTTCAAATTCGCCTTTGGCAAGAATTGAATCTAAAACTTCTCACTTACAAGTGAAGAACAATACCCCTAAACCATAGTACTAAGTGACATCTCAGGTGGAGTTACTGAAGTGCCACAACAAATTAGGCAAACCAAACAATACCGCTAGATCATCTAAATTTCCACTTTTTCTTGGATTTTCTACAAGTTCGTAATTTTATTTGTTACTTGATTATAAGAACGTAAATTTTGTGAGTACGTTTATATGACGTTCTAGCCAAACATAGGAGAATTTAACTTAAAAAGCATCTCTGCACGCGCTTATGCGCAAACGAAAGGCCTTTTACCAATCACGCGCACTAGATACGATTTACAAATTTATATTTGATTTTAGACGTTTTTATTTGATTGATACCTTAAATAATTAATTATTTCACCTAAGCCAAGGCTCTTGTGGCTTTACATTTTCTATTAAGAAAGTATGATTATAGCATGTGGAAAAGCGATAGAATTCCACTCCCCTCCACTCTCCTCACTTGTATCTTGATAATTAATTGTGAGGCTAAACTAATTTTTTTTTATGTAAATAATATAGTTTATTAAAAAAAATCGGAACA